ATGCCAAGATCAAGAGTCACATACTCTACTGGCTGAGCCAACCAGACATCCCAAATGTATTAGTCTCTTAAATCATGTAGAAAACAAAAAGTACTATTACAAAACATTGTTATGGTTACACTGACTTTTATAATTGTCGGTATCTTTGTTTACTTTTATTGAAATCTTTGCTTCTCAGTATGGCTTCAAGTTCTTTTCTAGTGTCTTTATGTTTTACCTTCCAGGACATGTCTAGTGGTCATGAACTCTGTCAGCTTTTCTTTTGTTACCTAGGGACATCTACACTCCCTCACTTTTGAAGACAGGTTTGCTGGATCTAGGGTTCTTGGTTGACAGTTGTTAGTGTTGTTGCTGAAGCACTTTGAATATATTGGCTCACTGTTTTCTGGCCTCCAAAGTTTCTAATGAGAAGTGTTTTGATTATCTTATTGAGGATCCCCCCTACCACCTGCCCATATGTGATAATTTACTTTTCTGAGGCTTTCAGGATTCTCTTTGGCTTCTGAAAGTTTGATTATAATGTGTCTCAGTGGGTCCAAGTTTATCTTATTTGGAGTTTATTGAGCTTCTTGAATGTTTATCTTCATGCCTTTTCATTAAGTTTGACAAATTTTCAGTCATTATATCTTCATATATTCTCCACTTCTTTCTCTCTCCTTCTGGGACTCCCACAATGTGTATATTGGTCTTTTTAATGGTGTCACACAGGTCCCTTAGATTCTGCTCACTTTTCTTCACAGTTGTTTTTCTTTCTGTTCCTCAGACTCAATAATTTCCATCATCTTCAAGTTTGCTGATTCTTTCTTCTGCCTGCTCAAATCTGCCTTTGAATCCCTCTCATGAAATTTTCACTTCCATTACTGTGCTTTTCTGTGTAATTCTATGCCCAGTATTATTACTTTTTTTTAGGTCTCTCTTGTTTCCATTTTGTTCACACATTTTCTTGATTTCTCTACATCTTCTAGTTCTTTTGAATGTCTTTAAAACAGAGTTGTCTTAAAGTCTTGGTTTCATCTACCTGCCACTGGGTCTTTCAGGGACAATTTCTGTTGATTAACTTTTTCCCTTGAGTGCCCTGTATTTTCCTGGTTTTTGTATGTCTTGTGGCTTTTTGAACCCTGGACATTTGAATCTAATAATATAATAACTCTGGGAATCAGATTCTCTCTCCTTTCCCAGGGTTTGCTGGTTTTCTTGGTTATTGTTTCTGTTCCTTAGATTGCAGACTGCGTCTGCTGAGGGTCAGCCTGAGGTGTAAACTTGAGGTCTTCTCAGGTTTCTTGTGAGCCTTTCCCTGGGCATGCATGGTCAACTCCCTAATTTTCTCTGTATATGCAATCATTTTTTGACTATCCTAGTTTTTAATGTCTAGCTCACAAAGGGAAAAAAGTGAAAAATGAGGGGAATGGGGAACATTCCGGCCCTTTAAAAATTCCCTGGCAGTCACTTCAGCCTCAGATGTAGAAGCTTGCAAACACGAGGGCAGGGACAACAGCGGGGAGAGACAACAGTGGCTGCTCACCTCTGCACCTCTGGTCAGAAGCTGCAATCAGAGCACACAGTCCTGGTGTTTGAACAGGATCATTTGCCCACCAGGTTCCTGCAAACTGTTGCTCCATGAATGTGGCTTGTGGTGAGGTAGCAACTACTAGTAGTAGTAATTACTAGTAGTACCAACTAATGTGCCAAGAGCTGAAATTGACCAAAATTTTCTGCAATTGACAGTCCTTATTCTCCCTGGAAGCTGCAAGCCTTTAGACTCCGGGGTTCTAAAATAGTTATATCAGGGGCACATGGGTGGCTCAGTTGGACAAGCGTCTGACTCTTGGTTTTGGCTCAGGTCATAATTTCATAGTTTCATGGGATCGAACCCCACATTGGGCTCTGTGCTGATGGCATGGAGCCTGCTTGGGATTCTCCCTCTCCCTCTCTGTCTCTGCCCTTCCCCTGCTCTTGCTGTCTGTGTCTCTCTCAAAAACAAATACATAAACTTAAAAAAATAAGTAAAATAGTTGCATCACACCACCATCTTTCCAGAATCTTCCTAAACTTCACCTATTCCCCATCACTTGAAATCACCCAAATCAGTACTAAATTTCTACATGAATTTGAACCTACTTCTGTTGTAGGATCTGGTTCTTGTGCACCTGTGGCAGTTTGTTTTTTTTTTTTAATTTTTTTTTTTTTTTTTTTTTAGTGTTTATTTCTGAGAGAGAGAGAGAGAGACAGTGTGAGGACAGGGGAGGGTCAGAGAGAGAGGGAGTCACAGAATTCAAAACAGGCTCCAGGCTCTGAGATGGCTGTCAGCACAGAGCTGGATGCTCAAACCCATGAACTGTGAGATCATGACCTGAGCCGAAGTTGGACGCTTAACTGACTGAACCACCCAGGCGCCCCTCACCTGTGGCAGTTTTTAATTGCTATACAGCTTGATATTTTCCTAACTGGTCAGAGTATTGCCCTCATTGCTCCTTCAGAATTTCACTGGATTCTTTTTGTTGTTGTTGCATGCTTTTTGCAATATGAACTTTTAAAGTTGGCTTGTCTGGTTCTTGGTGATAAATCGTTATTGGAATTAAGTTGAAAAATTAGATTAAATACAGACTGACACAGATTGTGATCTAAAACATGGGTTTATGCTTTCCCATTTATTCCAGTGGTCTTTTCTCAGTTCTCATTTTTTTATAGTTTAAGTCCGACAGACTTTAGAAGCTTCACCTCCTGAATGTAAAAATCTTCTGCTACATTTTCTAACTATAGTTGCATATAGAAAAGCTATTGATTCCAGCTATTTAGTTGAATGCTTATTGAGAACAGCTTTTAGTTTAGTTGATTCTGTTGACATATCAGAAAAAAAATGTTTTGGCTCCTTTATTTTTGTCTAACTTCTTTGCTAGACAAAAGAAAACCAATTTGTGTAATTTTTAACTTTATCTTTTGTCTAACTGCTCTAAGTAGTTATTTCATACCCAGGATATGAAATAATTATGGTAAGTATGTCGCAATCCTAAGGTGCATGTCCAATGTTTGATTTAGCATAATAACTTTTTACTGTTTGAGGTTAATGAGAATCCATCTACTCCTAATTTTAAGAACTTCTATCTGGAATGAATTAAAGTTCTTGATCCCTGAAAATTTTCCCCCTTCCTTTATGAGCTGCAGTGTTGATGCCCTGATACCACCCTTGCATGTTTGTTAACAGTAGTTATTCCCAGTATCCTCACACTTTGCAAGACATCTTTTAAATCTTTATAGAGGGAGACAGAGAATTCTAAGCAGACTCCGTGGTGTCAGAGCCTGACACGAGGCTCAGTCTCACAAACTGCAAGATCATAACCTGAGCTGAAGTCAAGAGTCAGACGCTCAACCAACCAAACCACCAAACACCCCAAGGTAGCTTTTTTCTTTCCTTGAACATGCCAGTGCAATCTACTACTTAGGATTTGTATTCATAGCATGCTGTCTTTATCAGGTTTTACTTACTATTTTTTTAAGTTTATTTTTGAGAGACAGACACAGTATCTGAAGCAGACTCCAGACTCTGAGCTGTAAGCACAGAGCCTGATGGCGGGGCTCAAACTTATAAACCACGAGATCATGACCTGAGCAGAAGTCAGATGCTTGACTGAGCCACCCAGGTGACTCTCTTTGTCAAGTTTTAAACCAGTGCTTCCAAAGTATTTAGAGGCTTGTTACATGCTGGAGTTTAACCCTTGTGCTTGTAGTAAAGATGTGAGAATAGTTCAACCATGAAAATTCCTAGACCTTTTCTTCTCTAATAATCAGTCTGTTGTAATTTTCTTTCCAACCAGTTTTAAAGCTCATGCCATTTTGTTCATGTTGGTAGATCTTACTTTAATTTTTCCAGCTCACTTTTAACTCGCCACTGAGCCCCATAACCTCCCTCTCTGGTCATGCGTTCTCTCCCATACACCACGAGGGGGGTCTCTCCTTTGTAAGGTGCTTATACAACAGCTGGACATAATCAACTCTGGTAATTTTTTACTCTTTTCAGGCTCATGTTAACAGTACCAAGAACACAAATGTCCTGTTAAACTACATTACCAAATGTTTCTCTTTTCAGTGTGGAGCATGCACAGACCATCACCTAAACCTTCAGATGCCAGTGGCTGTATTGCCCAAAACAGATCATGGAAAAAGACCTAGGTAGTAAAAGTTCACATCTTGCCCCCTCGCAGCTTACTCTTACTGTCTTCCTAATCCTCTAGGGCTGTACCATCCAATAAGGTCGACATTAGCGATATGTCCCAAGTGAGCACTTAAACTGCAGCTGGCCCAAACTGCAAGTGTCATAAGTATAAAGGTAACAGATCTTGAAAACTTAGTACTTTTTTTTTGTACTAACATTTTTTATTACTTTATCACTTTTTTGATGTTTATTTTTGAGAGGGAGGGAGGCACAGAGCCCGACACAGGGCTCCAACTCACAAACTGTGAGATCATGACCAGAGCCGAAGCCAGATGCTTCCAAACTGAGCCAGGGCCCCTGTACTAACAAACATTTTTACCTACAGGTTGCCATTTTAGCTACATATTAGGCTAAATAACATATTTTTACCAGTTTCTTTTTACTGTCAAAATTTACAAGTTACACCTATGGCTGCATGGTTGTGCTGGACGGCGCTGCTCAGCTGGTGCCCTGCCCCCCACAGTGGGCTCCCTCCCCTGGCGGACTCAAGGCCCTGACCACAGACATTGCCTTCTTGTGACCCTTTGAAGACAGCAGTACCAGGATGCCAGGTTAGTGTTAGCATTTATTTTAAAAATACACAAAATAGAAAATTTTTACATCAAAGTGTGATAACCTCACTTATACATTGTTCCATACTTACCTGGTTTTGTCTGCATCCTTATGCAAACACTAATAGATGGATTTGATTCTGACTTTTTGCTATGGTTCATGTAAACAGTCGAGACTGCTACATAAAGTAAGTTGTTTTAAAAGGTAAAGTGGCCACAGAAACCCAACAGTAAAACAATTCGATTTGGTTTGTTTAATGAAATTGGCAGAAGTCTTAGCAGATAGATAATTGAAAACTACACACTGGGTTCTAGACATTTAAAATATTTAAAACCTTGAGGTTTTGTTCATCTTGTAAACATAACTTAGACCTTGTTGGCATTAAGTTTGAAAAGTAAAATATTAAACCATGATTTTCATCAGCCTGCCTGTGGTCAGTATACACTCTCTTTATTATGAGAATGAAACCAAATAATAAGCAAAATACATCAGGAATTTCAAATTATACTGTAAAGAAGGTCCCGGCTGCCCTCTTCTGGGAGCGACCTAACTGAAGCTGACCCTGCCACTGGCTGAGGGTGACCCCCGCTGTCCAGCAGACAGCACGACGCCCCAGCCGCGGGACGGTCAGTTCCTCTTGCTCCATGGCTTCCGAAGCAGTTGAGGCTGTGTCCACCTCCGCTGGCTCCGCCGTCCTTCCTGGGGCTTTGATGCACTGGGCGAGTTGTTTGGGACTACTGTCAAGACTGTACTGTCCCTTTAAGGTACCACATGCCACCATAGCTCACACAGCAGTCCTGTGGAGTAGAGAAATGTGTTCAGCAGGAAAGGCAGCCACTCTATCCTGTACAGAACATCACAAACCGGTTTATGATTAATGGATAGAACACAAACAGGAAATCAAGAGCTGCCTGATACAATGTTGGGGTAACTGCTGGGCTCTCTAGTGCTTGGGCCCCAGGCCCTCTTCCTCTCAGGGGCGTTTGAAAAGTGGGGAACCATAAGTGAATGTGCTTTGTAAGCACAAGATAAACTGCTAATAAGCTGACTCAGAACAAAGGTGCCTCATAAATAGCACTACAGACGGCCTTGAATGTTTGAGACAATAAATCAAGATGTAAAGAAATGGTCATCAGCTTTTTGTGTTCCAGTGTTTCTGCCAATATGGTATTTGTACTGTAGTCCATTCATAAAAGCATTATAAGTAGTATACTTAAGGACCTGCATACATTATTTCCTTTTAAATTTAAAAATTGATTCTACTGAAAGCCAAGTGGTACAAAATTCAAAAGGGGAGTGGAGTTGGGGACTCAGGCCCGGTCACCTGAAGGGATGGCCCACCGCACTACTGCTTGAAGGGGGGCGAGGGGAGGGGCACCAGAGGAAGCCTGAGTTAATAAACCCGATAAACACGGGGGTAGGATTTCCACAGGCTGTTGGCCTCCACCCGAGGCAGGGACGAGCCAGGCGCCCCCAGGCAGTGGCCCAGAGCCCATGTACCTTTAGCACTTTGTCCACCTCCTGTTTACTCAGATCCTCTCCGCACTCCTGAGTCAGCCGCGACTGGATCATGTTCCGGCGTACCCGGTAATTTTTGGAAAAGATTTCAAGCAAAACCTGTCGGTGCTTTAGTAGCAAAAATATGTTATTGTGGGAAACGGTCACCTGAAAGAGAAACCTCCCCGAACAAGAGCTCCAAAGCTCTGGCCTGAACTTGGCATTGCAGTCTGTGTGCACCAGGACTGCTGTAGAAACAAATACATCTGCCCAATCTGCTGTCCCCGGAGGCCCCAAGGAGGACCAGGCAAGTGCCAGCAGAGGATAAGCAGTTTAGACATGGGGTTTCAGGATACAAAACAGGAGTGAAAATGGATTTAAGAGGCAGGGAAAGTCACCATCTAAGCTGCATGAAGACAGGGCTGGATTGTTACCCATAAAGCTCTGTCTCCTTTATTTTAAAAAATAATACACTTTTCTTCTCCTTAAAAGAATTTCACAATTTGAATCTTCTAATTTCCTACCCCTTGAGGACTAGAAAACTCAGATGCCTCCTATTCTGGCCAAGAGCCCACAGGCTGGCACAGGAAGAGCCCCTGCAGATGCGCTCAGAGGCCCTTCTGTCTGTCCTCACCTGCCCGTCAGCCCCTCTGAGGCAGAAGAGGGGTCGCCCTTCCTCCCCACACCCTAGGAGTAGGGCTCAGAAGACGGCAGACTGCTGTTTCAGCAGTTTCATCTGAAATCCTTAAAGTTTGAGCAAGTTCATGATTGAAGGAAAATTTCTGGACCTCAGGGTCCATGCAGACACTGCTGCTGTTTCAATTCCTATTCTCTAGGCTTAGGACCCTTCCTGTCAGGGTGACAGGAGGCAAAATGGACCAATTTCTCCCACTTAGAAATCCAGCACCTGAAATCTGATAAGGAATCTTTTTGATTCTTAGTGCTGGGGGCCCCCTGAGAAATGTGGACTGTCACTGGTTCACCACCCCAGCTGGGTGGCAGAATCCTCTGGAAAGCTTTGTCCAAGTTTAAATACCAAGGATACTGCCCCTTTCCTACGGAACTGAACAAAGTCTCGGGGGATGGTCCTGAGAGTCTAGGTAGATTTTTTAGAGAGGACTCGGACGCAGCCGGTTCAGATGGCAATAGGGGACCACTGGTTCCAGTCAAATGACTGGCACATCCAGCTTGTTTTAACACTACACGGGGACACAGAGCCAGAATATTTAAACTGGGAAGTGGCTGGAAAATCTGAGTGTGTGCTATATACTCTGGGTCTCCCCAAAAGCCTCACCCCACCTCCCTGCTCTTGGGGAGATGGTGGCAGAGGTCACCTCACCTGATCGCTCATGTCTCCAGACTCCCAGAGGGCGAACACCTTCTGCTCATCCGGGGACGCAGCAGTCTGTGGGGGAAACTAACCGAGGCCCAGGCATTAGTAGTTTGTCTTTACCACGTGGGTCCACCCACCCCTCCCAGCCCACATGAGCCCTATTCAGGGACAGAGCCCACGTTAAGACCGTGGGTTCCAGTGCCAGCTCCTGCCACTCACTAGGGCTTCAGTGGGAGGGAGTGGGAGACACCCAACCTCAAAGCCCCAGATACACTCAAGGTGGGGAAGGGAGTTCTGCTGTTTGTTTCTTGGGGGACCAAGAAAAGGGTGGCCAGGTTCAGGACACCTGGTAGAGTGGTTTCCAGCCCTGACACAACACAACAGTGGTGGCTGCCACCACATAAAGCCAAGGTGGGGGAACCCAAAAATGTACAATCTCATTTGATCATCGGAAATGAGAGAGGTGGGAGCAGTGGGCTGTAGCCTCCAGTCTCCAGGAAGAAAATCCAGTTCAGAGATTTATATGCTGTCCACAGTCAAACATCTAATAAGTAGCAAAAATGGGATTAAACTCAAGCGTGTGTCTACTCCTAACTCCCTGGACTTCAGCATCCTTGCATACACAGCTGAGATCTTTTCCTTCTCAGAGGGGACTACGATATATGCTCCCTCCATCAGGATCATGGGGGGTGGGGGGGCGGAGATCGATGAGAACAGCAGCGGGGCCGTGGTCTCCCAGAGATCCCAGCCCCACGAGGAGGGAGGAGCAGGGCCAGGATGCCTGAGAGCAGCCCTCTCCCACCCACACAGCACCCAAGACGGCCTGGCTGACACTGGCCTGGCTCAGAGACAGGACAGCCTGGTGCTAACTAGACCCCTTTGCTGGGTGGGTGAAGTGCTCCTGACAGTGCCCCCAAACCCCGATACCTTCCACAGGAAACCACACCAAGGTGGCTCCCTGACATGAGGGCCAGATCTCCTGGGACAGCCCCACCAGCACGGGGTCCCAGGCCTCTCGTCCTAGGTTGTTTCTCACATACACAGAGACGGGCCTTCACCTCCTCACCCAAGGCTGCACGTGCTTCTGACCTCTGACTGCAAACGTCAATGCTCCCTTATGAGGCAGCCACAGCCCCACATTAGCTGCACGTCACCAGGTCTGCCAAGTCCTGGCAGAGCTTAGGAGGAGAAACGACCAGCACCGCCTCCTAAAGCCACAGCCTTACACTTCTCATGTTCAGCTAAGGGAAATGGCCCACACCATACGCTCTGCTCCTACACTTCACCTGCTCCGGGGCCCCTTTCAATGCAGGGACAGGAAGCCCGGAGGGTGTGGGGAGGGGGGCAAGCGGCCACGTGCAGGCCTGGCACCAGAAGTGCCAACCATGCTGGCCAGCTAACCTCTAGCCAGGAAGGCCTGCCAGAGCCCACGCACAAGCAGTGGGTTCTGGTGAAACAGTCAGCTCATCTCAATTAAAGCAGGAAAGGTTTCACTCCTGGGGCACCTGGGGGCTCGTCAGTTGGGTGCCTATTGATTTCAGCTCAGGTCATGATCTCATGGTTTGTGGGTTCAAGCCACACATCAGGCTCTGTGCTGACAGTGCAGAACCTGCTTGGGGTTCTCTCTCTCCCTCTCTCTGCCCCTCCCCAGCTCGTTCTCTCTAACTGCAGCCACTAAAGGGAGGTTCAAATTCCAGCTCTATCACTTCCTGAGTATATGAGACAAGCTAATTTCACTCCTCTGGAACTTGGTTTCTGTACCTACAAATGGCAAAGAAAATCAAACAATAATAGAAGTGGAGTCCTCTTGGGGCACCTGCGGGCTCAGTCAGTCGTCTGACTCCTGATTTCAGCTCAGGTCATGACCTCACAGTTTGTGGGATCAAACCCCCTGCTGACAGTGCCAAGCCTGCTGGTCATTCTCTCTCTCTCTCAAAATAAACAAACATTATAAAAAAAAAAAAATCATCCTGAAAAACCAACAGGAAGAGGTGCCAGCAGAGTGGGGGCTGGAAACCAGACCAGGAACTTGCACGGACAGGCCCTGCGGTAGGCCTAGTGGCCTGGCGCCTTCAGACACCTCAGGGGCCCTCACCCAAGTCCCAGGAGACCAAAGCCTACATCTGCCCGCGTCAGAGGATGACACAGAGCCTAAGAGGTCCAAGGTCACACAAAGCCACCACATGAGAGCCAAGGTCCAAACCAAGGTCGGTGGTCCTCCTGAGTTCCCAGGCAGCCTCCAAACTGACTCCCCCCAAAGCAAGCAGGGCACAGGCCACTCTGGAGTGACCGGGCTGGTTTCCTTTCCGTCACGAGGGGCGCTGCCCACCCAGGAGCCGTCCTGAGGGGCCGGAGGGCGGCCTCCTCCGTGTGCCCATCAGGCCGGCGCAGGCTCTACTTACAGGCACCAATATTTGCTTGCAACCGGCGGCCAGCACCGTGTCCTGCAGCATGCGGTCCGAGATGCCGCTGAAAAGCGTGTGACCAGGTGGCAGGCTGGCCAAGTGCAGGTTGAAGAGGCGCTTGAGTTCACTCAGCGTGAGCACAAACTGTCTCTGGAAGGTGGCCTCCACGAAGGCCCTCAGTTCCCGGGCCACAGGGGTGCCGGCACAGCCTGAGGGCGGGTGTCCGTTGAAGCTGTCCCCGCCTGCCGCCCGCCCGCCAGGCAGCCCGTTGGCCAGCCTACTGTGGAGGCCGCCACCGAGAGAGGTGTCCATGGGCTCCTCGTCTTCGTCTGCTTCTTGCTCTTCCTCTTCCTCTCCCTCCTCACTCATGGGCTCCTCCTTGATCCGCACGCCGGGCAGGACCGTGGATGCCCGCGCCTGCTCCTTCCTTCGCTGCAGCTCCCGTTCCAGCAGTGCGTGGTTCTGCTGGGCCTTGCTTCTGGCCACCTGGACCCGCTGGTCCCCAGAGACCAGCCCGGCAGGCCCTGCGGGGAGAGGCCAGCGCTGCTCAGGAGGGCACAGAGACAGGACAGAGAGGGGCCCCCCGCCCGCGGACACCCCCCGTCCCCCAGAAGAAGGGGATGGAAATGGCGCAGGCCAGCCTTTCACTCCTACTTCACCCAGCAGAGACTGAGCTACCCCAGCAGAGGGGAAAGAAAGAACTGGGGAAAGTCAGAATTCTATGTTGGGAGACTCCAACCAGGATGGGTTCCTGGTCCCTGACAGCTTCTCCTGCCCCCCCACCCCCCGCCGCTGACTCAAGAAGGGCCAGAACCCAGCAGAGCCCCAGAACACACTGGCCCTCAGTCCCTGAGGCCAAGCATTTGGACACTAGACAGGCCTTAAGCTGAGGTCTGTGGGGAAGGGGGAGGAAAGCACAGAAAGGAAAACCAATGGGCCCAGAGAGGGGTGTGTGGCTCTCCCCAATGAGCCCCAGCAGAGCAGCCCGCCTGGAGCCAGGGCGGGTTAGGGACCTGCCCAGTCCAAAGCCCCCCCCCCGCACACCTGATTGTCCATCTGGCTTCTTTGGCAAGGTTTCCTTCACAAGATTATAGACTTTCTCTAATCTGAAAAGAAGAACAAACTTTAACTTTAAACCATGTTGCCTGTCACCTGCCTCACTAAAGCAACGTCCCCCGTTGAAGCCAGGGACATCCTGGTGACCGAGGATGCCGTGTGCACAGAGCCCAGCCGGCCCTCCCCACAGCACACGGGCTGGTGGTGGGTGGCCGTGGCCCAGCCTTCCCTTCTCCGGCTGGTCTCCGTCCCGCTGCCTGGGGCCACGCACACCCGGGCGCCTGCTCTCCACCCGCAGCCCTCCTTCCCGACCCCTAATAGCACACCTGCTAGTTCTGATCAGCAGCGGTGGCTATACCAGGCCTGTTGGGGGGGAGAGGGGAGGGGGAGGGAGGAGGGGGGAGGGGGGAGGGGGGAGGAGGGGAACAGGGGGTTCCGGATCAATCCACCACGTCCACTGGTGTGCAAGACGGGGTGCATGCGGCCCGCGTATGCTCTCACCAGCCCACACTTGGCTTAGGGGACCAGGTGGCTGTGGGCGGCCCGGCAAGCCCTTACTTGGCCTGGATGCCCGACCACAGCATGTGCTGCCGCTGAACCACATCTGGATGTTTCTTGATGAACTCTCCGTCGTAAGGCAGTATGAACTCCCAGCCTTTGTTGATTCTCACCACAGCCATGTGCTCCAGAAAGTCCTTCACATCCTCTGTGCAGAGCTGAGGGAGGGGATGGAGTGAACCCCGCAGGCCTGAAAGCCCACCCCTGCCTCCGCTCCCTGCAGGACCCGTGCTTCTGATGGGGAACATCACTTACTTTAGTCACTGCTGCCACCTCTTTCCGTACCACCCACCGGCTCTGTGTGAACTTCCACATCTGAGGGAGAAAAAGCATGTTTCCAGGGGGCAAAGATGGATCGCTCCTAAGACGATCCCCCGAAACCTGTGCAGTCGTCCTGGGGGTCTGAGGGGAGGGAAGGCTGTTGCCGACCAGAACTCAGACTTGACCAGACCTCCCAGGCCCCATCGGACAGCATCTGCCTGGGAGAGAAGGGCTGACAGGCAGGGGTGGCTGAGGCTTTGGTGAACAAGCCTGGGCATGGATCACCACTGTGCTTCGAACCCGAGACCAAATAAACTGCACAGGCACCCAGACACTAGCTGTCCAAAGGAGCTGGGACATCGGAGCAGGGAAAGGAAAACGCAGGCACTCTCTCCAGACAGCACAAGGGCTGCCCTGCATGAGCAGGGCACATCAGGAACACATCATGGTCGCTGCGCACAAGCTAAGACCGAGTTCCCCAAACTCAAAGCACAAAGCTGAGGCCAAGGGAGGCAGTGCTGATCCCAACAGCCTGGGTTCAAGCCCTCTGAAGAGAGGCCGGGGTGGGGCGTAAGTTCTGCATAAACGCAGGGGGTGGGGCAGGGCAAGGGAACGGAGGAACAAGCTAGCAAACACCTACAGCAATAGTGCAGGGAACACGCGTGAGAGAAGCAGATGCGCCCGGGACCGTGGGGAACAGGATGGTCAGCCCCACTCAACAGGGATTTGGGCCAGTGGTACCAGACTGTCCGATTATTCTCAACAAGCTAGAAATGTGGTTTGTACGGTGATTATGAATTGTAAAACTCAATTTAAGTCAGCATTTAAAAAGAAAACAAAAAACAAACCACTACTCCGGCCAAATGAAACCTGTTTCTTAGCCAGAGTCTACCTATGGGCCTCTGGTTTGGGTCCCCAGGCCAGAGGAACTCAGAGGTTCTATGAAGCCCAAGACTCCAGGATTCCGAGTTGAAGGAGAAATAGGGTCCAGAGCCACACCTGCCCTTTCCCACCGCCCGGAGCTGAGGCCCTGGAAGCTGCGCACGGCCCTGGCCCCCACTTCCGTGATCCCTGCACGGCCCCGGGACCCCTCCCGTGATCCCTGCCCGACTGAGTGAAGGCCAGAAAGCCCAAGCACTTACGACAAAGTCTCGGCCCCTGCAGAGCACCTCGGCAGGCACACCGCTGTGAGGGCTGGAGGAGTCCTTGGGGTATAGGATGTCGCTGCCAACGAGAGGAGGAGCCACAGGTCAGTCCCATCCCTCAGCACCCCCACCTGCCGCAGTGCCCACCCCCCAGCGCCAAGCACTCTGTCCAACAAAGGCTCATACAGCTTCCCAGGGCCTCCCTTTTTACCCTTGGAGCCTGGCTCTGTGAACACGTATGAAGAAAAGCAGCACCTCCCCCCACGCACACCCCCTCAAGAGTTCTTCCTCCTGGCCCTTCTTGACCTTCCCTGCACACACTGGCCCAGCCCCAAGGCCCACTGCAGTCAGGGGCTCAGAAAGAGGCCAGTCCAGGACGCAGGGAGACGGCGAGTCCTCCACATGCAGCAGGCCTGAGGCCAAGAGACTGACTGGGAAGTGGTACGCGAGGCCTTCCCCACCTGTCGGAAGGGGTGAGGCGGCCAGTGCGAGCAGGGGCAAGAGGGGTCAGGGGCCGGGGCCTGGATGGGCCCTGAGGCGCAAGTGGGGCTAAAGCCTTTGGAGAGAAGGGGACCAGCAGTCAAGCTCAGAGAATGTCAGGGCCCGGGGTGAACGAGCAGGGTATTGAGGCTCACAAGCCTAACCCTGACCGAGGTGAGCCACAGACCCCGTCACACCCCAGTGGGGTGTCACACACGCCACCCCAGACCGCCCTGTGCCTGCAGTGCCTCTGCTGGGAGGCCTCTCTCCTCCTCTTCTCCATCCCACCTGGCGACCAACTAACACTCCTCCATCAAGGTGGAGCTCTGTCTCCTCCCTTCCCAGGATAACTAAGGGGACAGGGACCTGGCTCGTGTCGTTCACCGCTGCCACAGACAGAAGGGAGCCGCTAAGTGGGTGCTGAATGAATGGAAGAATGGGGTCCATGCCCTGGATCTCTGCACTCACTGTACTCAACTGTAAGGGAGGCCACCTCCGCCCCACAGATTTCCTGAGGACAGAAACAGCGCGGAACTGATAGCGGAGCACAGGGCACAGCCATATTTACTGAATAGTTTGAGTTTTGCATCAATTCCTCACAAGAACACAAAGGGACAGGGCAAAGAAGGAGCACTGCCCACAGGCCGTGGTGTGGGAGTGTGGGCTTGCTGCAGGACCCGAGGCCCTGGGACGGACAGAACACGCATGGCCTTCAATTCACAGGGACACACCCCAGGCTGGAAGGGCAGAGGCATCAGGGCCACAGGCAGTCCGGGCAGAGAGCTCAAACCCCAGCTCTGTGGCTGCCTTACTGCCAGATGGTTAGGAAGTCTTTGCCTCTCTGGGTCAGCATCCTCTCATTCATTCATGCCATAAATATACCTGGGTGTCTCATTCAATGAGTATGTGCTACTCACCCAAAGGGCTTCTATAACCAAACACTTGTGCGGCACAAGACAACAGCCACAAAGTACAGACAGAGACTGAGCATGTTTCCCAGTGTAAGGGCGCCACCATGTGGCAGTAGCATGAATACCTTTACCATTTACTTGGCCAACCGACTGAAATGATGGGAGCTGCTGCAATGATCACTTAAAAAATTTGGAACAATTCACATTTTGATAGATTGTTCGCCTTACACCATACTTCCTAAAAAATGAGCCTTTATTAACAGAATTCAGGGAGCAACACTTATTTAGCAAGGGTCTAAGATGTGCCAGGCACTATACGGAGTACCAAGGCTGTGAGGGAGAGTCCGTACCCTCTTGAAACGGATAGTCTGGTGGAGGAATTACAGAAGAGAAACTACTGAAAGGCATCAAGCCACAAACTCAAGACCTCTGAACCCCACAGGATACGTGAAAGGAAACTCAGACTCTTAGACTCAGACACAGCTTAATGAACTGTTAAAAAGCCAAAACAAGAGTAAAATCTTAAAAAGAGAGAAGCTAGGTTAAAGATAGTGGACTTGTCACCAGGAACAATGGGACTGAAAAGACAATGAAATTATATCCACGTGTGGAAGGAAAGCAATCAACCGCAAATTCTTTTTTTTTTTTAATGTTTATTTTTGAGAGAGAGAGAGAGAGAAAGAGAGAGACAGAGCACAAGTGGGCGAGGGGCAGAGAGAGAGGGAGACACAGAATCCAAAGCGGGCCCCAGGCTTCCAAGCTGTCAGCACAGAGCCTGATGCGGGGCTCGAACTCACCAACCATGAGATCATGACCTGAGCTGAAGTCAGACACTTAACTGACTGAGCCACCCAGGCGCCCCATTCAACTTCAAATTCTACACTCAGTAAAAAATACCCTATTTCCAACTATATGAAAACCAAGGAAATTCATCATCTGCACACCTTCATTAAAGGAAATACCACAGCACTTTTTAGCAGAAGGAAATCATCCCAGAAACTCAGATGAAGAAAGGCATGATGAGCACAATAAAAAGGTAAATAAATATGTGAGCAGATCTAAAGAATACTGACTAAATACAATAATATCTTGTGGGTTTTAAAATACAATTAAGAGGCACCTGGGTGGCTCAGTCAATTAAGCTTCTGACTCTTGGTTTTGGCTCAGGTCATGATCTCGCAGCTTTGTGGGTTTGAGCCTCAAGTCAGGCTCTGTGCTGACAGTGTGGAGCTTGCTTGGGATTCTCTCTCCCTCTCTCTCTCTTTCTCTCTCTGCCTCTTCCCCACTCATGTCTCTCTCAAATAAACTTAAATTATTTAAAAAGCTAATAAAGTTAAAATACATAAATACAACAGCACAGGAGTTAGGAAGAAAATAAATATAAAATATTCTAAGGCTTTCGAATTGTTCTGGATGAGGGTAAAACACAGCAATTAATATTAAACTGTGATCGGGGCATCTGACTCTTGATTTCAGTTCAGGTCATGATCTCACGGTTCATGAGCTGGAGGCCTACATCGTGCTCCATGCTGACAGTGTGGAGCCTGCTTGGGATTCTCTCTCTCCCTCTCTCTCTGCACCTTCCCCAAGCACATGCACATGCTCTCTCTCAAAATAAATAAACTTAAAAAAAACGTTAAAATGTCATCAGTTATGAATGCACACTGAAATCTGGACAGGAATCACTAAGAGTCCACCAGAAAGGATAACTTCCAAATTAGCAGGGAGGAACGGAATAAAAGAAAAGAATCCAGTAGAAGGTAAGAACAGATATAAAATGCAGGACAAACAGAAAGCACGAAGGTAGACTTAAAACCAAAGCGTCAGTACTGAATTTAAATGGATCAAATGATCCCAGTACAGAGGGACTGACCTCTTCACCACCCAGTTTCCTTGGACTAACATCGCCACCTTCTGGATGCCACGCAGAACAGCCACAGAGTCGATGGAGGGGCCCAGGAGGCTCATCAAGTTGGCAAAGGGCATGACCTTCACTGAGGAGGACACAGAAGATATCAGACAGGGAAGGGGGCCTGGGCCCGTCCCTCTCCCCTGCCAAGTCCACAGAGCTTCAGGTTCACTTAACCACCCCAGCACGTGAAGAACACCGATGACACAGGTAATATCAACAGCTGACTTCACTGGCTGCCTGCTATGTGCACACATCTGTACCTCACTGAGTCCTGGAGGAAACACGCCACAGGGGGCTCCTTAAAGGTAAAACTATTACGGGGCACCTGGCTGGTTGGGTTGGTAGAACACACCACTCTTGATCTCAGGGTCAAGAGTTCAAGCCCCACGTCGGGCTGGAGCCTACTCAAAACAAAAAACAGGGGAGGCTATTACTACTACTGAGGCCCAGAAAGGAAAGGGCCTGGGGAAGGCCCATGTCCTTTGCAGGAAGGCCATCAGCCTGGCACCCTGGTAGCCCAGGCCTGGGAGCTCCCCTCTGCTCGGGCCCCTGGAGACCCTTGAGTTGGCATCTCAGAAGAGGAGCCCAGGTCCTAGGACTGGGCTCTGAGGTTCAGGGTTCACATCTGTTCTAAGGGCTCTAGCCCTCCAGGTCCTGTGAGAAAGGAGACCAGTCCCTACTGTGTGGAGCCTGGTGAGGATGCCTCAAAGCAGTACAAGCAAACGAACAGAGCTCATGTTCCTGTGCAAGGCTCCGCATAAGCCTCCTAGAAAGCTCGTCTCAGCCCCTAGGAGCTAGCTTAGCTCCTTTTTATAGATAAACAGGCTCCGGAAGGCTAGTGACCTGCCCGGGCTCACGCTGCAGGGCAGTGGCCGGGACGGAGCAGCACCTGGAGCCCGGGCAGGAGCCCGCTGCAGCGCCTTCCCTCCACACAAGGACGGAGCTGTAAAGCTGGGCCCGCTCTGGGTGGTGGGGCCTCCGGCCTCGCCGCTCCGACCTCAGTCTCTCCCAGACTGTTTCCCTAGGAGGTGGCAGGGCTGGGGCCCCCTGGGGGAAGGGGTGTCCACCCACCATTCTTCATCAGGATCTTGATCTGATCGGCCAGGGGCAGGGTCCGCAGCTGGGCCATGGACAGGACGTTGCTGGGGGCCACGGGTTTATCTCTGTTGAAAACAGAGGTGATGGGTTACGGAAGGGGTGTGGGGGAGGCGTGCGGTGGGGAGGATGGTGTCTGGCCCGATTCTACTCACTTCTCCTCCTCTGGGCTGGGCGGCATCAGCATCATGAGGTACTCACTGCAGGGAAGAGGACAGGGTCAGCAGCTCCCCGGCTCTGTCCCTGCCTCACCCCTGCCTGCGAACCCACCCTGCACCTAGGCTGAAGTGTCCCCAGGGGAGGGCTGAGGGGTGGGAAGGCTGACAGAAACCCATCCCCACCCTCCCTCAGCACCTCCCCCAAACCTGTAGAGAAAGGAGAACCATCTCTTCCCACACGTGCTCTCCTGGCCCTCTCCCGAGAATAAAGGATCCCTCCCCATGTTCCTCCCTCATGCTACAGAAGGGGCCACAGTCCCTAGGAAGGCCCCACACCCGAGGGACTGTCCTAGTGCCATTGATGGGCTTAACGCCCTGCCCTGGAGGGTCTCACCTGGGTGACTTGACAAGCTCTGTGTTCTCAACCCCGCTGGAGCCCTGGCACAGGAGGTACTGGCGCTCGTGCTCGGAGCGGCTGTCCTGTTGGTGGAGGGGCAGGGTGTGAGGGCCCTCCACCACCGCCTCCCCCAGCCCCTCTGCTCTCCAGTTTTCACCACTGTACCACCTTCCCCTCCAGCCACCTACTGTCCTGCCCCAAAGCCATCCAACCACCTGAGTATGGCATTCAAGGCCTCTGTGATGTGGCCTCAACCATTTCCAGCTTTATGACTGAACAGCCCGAGCACTCATGCCTAGGGGCCCTGTCTGTGACACAGGACCACTCAAAGCAATGATAAAAATAACAGCTAACAGTCCCTGAGCACCTACTATGTGCCAGAGGCTCTAGTCCAATGGCTGTGTATATACATCATCTTATCTCATTAGGTACTGCCTACCGTCACACACAAGGAAATACCAGAGCTTCTGGAAGCCTGACTCTAAGGCTCCGTCAACACGAATCTTTCAGAAGATTCCAGAGAAACTGGGAGTTGTTCCTTCCCCAGAAAAACGTTAGGGAGCCCTAGTCTCTGGTGTCTTTGGCTTTGATTCAATTGTTTCCATTACTCAACAGTTTCAAGGATTGGGTTCAAAGCTAACACAGGAGATAAAAAGCAAGTATAGTCAAAAGCACCCTTGGCAAATACATGGTGAACTTGGCCTGGTCAAGAGATGGCCGGTTCTCAATAGCGCGCCTCTGTTCAGGACCCGTGATGCATAAAAATCCATAACCAAGCACCAGCCCCACCCCGGAGCTTGTAAGATGCTCACCCTTCGGGAGAGTCTGGGGGGCCGAAACCCCGGACCCAGGAGCCAGCAGACTCACTTCTCGATCTCCTGCTCCCCCAGGGACACACACTCAGTGGACCGGCTGGAACAAGGGACAAACTGCCCATAGGACTTCATCCTCCCTCCCCAGGCTCCCACCAAGTGGCTACCACTGAATGTGAGACGGTTCCAGGCGAGACAGCGAGGCCGCCCCGGGCACCAGGCTCACCCTCAGACCGTAGTAGTGCAGGTGGACCCAGGGCTCCTCGGCATGCTTCTTCTGCAGGAACTCGTACGACTGCACGCGGCGCTGGCGGGCCTGCTCCGACTCGGGACGGGAGAACCGCACCTGGGAGGGGGTTGGTGGCCTCAGGCCCGGGACACAACTGGGCTGCCTCCCGCGCCCACCAGGAGGCTGGAGGACCCCACACCTGGGGCACCTCCCACCCCCACTTCCTGACACAGGCCTCTTAAATACAGCTCCAACCACATCCCTCTGTGACTTGCCACCACAGGCCCCGGAGAGGCGTTCTCTGGCTTCCGCCTGCCGGCACCCACTCCATTTCCACTCCCGCTGGTAACAGGACCCCCGTTTTCTTTTGGGAGACACCCAGCTCCCCCTCAGTTTGGGGGAGCAAATATCCCTCCCCCACCCCCACCCCCACACACGTTCCCAGCCACAGGAGTGGGCACGTGACTCAGACCTGGACAATCCGAGCACCAAGTCCTCTTAGCCACAGGGGCTGGTTCAGGGTTGGCCAAGCCAACGAGTCCAGTCTGGGACTTTAGTTAGAAGTAATGAGAAAGAAGTTTCTTTTCCCCTGGGGTCTTGGAAGCTGGGAGGATGTGAGCCTGGAGCGGGGACAACTCTGTACCACTGGGGACAGACACCCTGTCTGAGAAAGAGGCCAAAAGAGGCAGGCAGAACCTGGAGGTGGAGACGGAGAAACCAGGTCTTGCTTGACACAGTCTGAGCACTTGAATTCAGCCATACCTGAAGCTACCCCTCAACTTTTCAGTAACAGGGACCAGTACATTCCACTGGGGCCTCATGCCACGGAGATCTGGGTTTCTGCTGCTTACAGTACAGACAGAACGAAGCCCTGACTCCCCCCTCCTGTGAAGGGCACCCGCACAGAGGATTATGGAATCCTGGAATTTAAGCTCCACAGCCAACTGGGGCTTGCACTCCTGACCCTGAGGTCAAGAGTCGCACGCTCCACTGCCAGCCAGGCACCCCAGCATCCTGGGATTCTATACGGCTCCTTTAAGGGACATGGGCCTACGAGTGCCGTGTTAACCGAGGGCCGGTGAGTAGAGAAGGAAGGAGGGTTCCAAGGTCACTCAATAAGCTACTAAGAGAACAGGTGTGAAGGTGAGCACCCCCCTCCCCGGTTGTGTCAGTATCTGTCCATCCTTCAAAGATGTGCAAATGCTCACAACTTTAGCCACACGTGTGTGTCATCCTGGTCAACATTTGTGCAGGACTCTTTTCTGGATGCTTATTTTAACCTAACTATGCTTACACAGAGGAAACTTTATAAGCCATAAATGGAAGGTCAATATTCTTCCAATAATGTGTGAAATAGAGGAATAAGAATTAAGAGAGAAATGTTGCATCTGCACACCCCTGAAAAGACAGAATTACACGGTTAATTAATGAGGCGTTTTCACTCCACTAGGACATGGGCTTCGTGGCTCAGGGTGAGGGGTCGCTGGACCGCCCGGGGCCCTGGGCCCCCAACTGTACAGAAGCCCAGGGCTGCTATCCCGTTCCCCCCTGGGGTGAGTCAGGCTGGACAGAGGCCCGGTTATCCCGCCATGTAACCAAGGAAAAGCTCTAAAGGAACCACGGTTTCGGGGTCTGTCTGCCCCTTGGAGCCCACGTCCTGCAGAGACCTTCCCAGCCCCGCAGCCTCCAGGCAGCTGAGCTCCGAGGCCAGCTCGCCACCTTGCAGGCCGCACCCTCCCTCTTCTTGGGGCCGGAGCTACTCACCGTGATCTGCTTCACATCTTCTTCTGCCTCGTCCTGCGAGGAGTCTCCTGCTGTGGGAGAAAGCGGCCCCGCTTGCAGCCTCCGGTGGCGCCCCCACTCCCAGCCCCACTGGCACGGAAGGCCTCAGGCAGGGCTATCTGCCAGTTCCCCTTCTAGACGGAGGCGGCTGCACAAGTCAGTGGCTCTTACCTGGGGGCGATTGTGCCCCCCACCCTCCCCCGGACACGCGGATACCAGGGAAGACGCTTCAGTTGTTAAAACTGTGGAGGTGAGTGATAGGGCATCCAGTGGTAGCACCCAGCCGTGCTGCTCAGCACCCTAGAATCCAAATCTTCGCTCTAGTTTTTTCCACACTAGCAGCAGGGCTGAGGCTCCAGAGCTCACCCTCATTGGCCGCCTCCCTCTCGCGGTGCTTGGCGTCCGCTTTATCCAGGTAGGAGAAGCTGGGCCGCAGCTGCAGGATGCCGTGTAAAGGCGTCAGGTGAAGCTCCCCTGGCAGCGGAAGAAGGGCATGGACGCGACTCCAGGAACCTGGGTCAGCCCCACCCACGTGGCTCCCGGTAGTCGTGAAGGGCCCTAGACCCCTGCAAAGACCTTGGCCCACTGTCAAACCACCTCCCACCTCTGCTCTGGCCCCCTAGTCCCACAGCCTCGGGACGACCAGGCCAGCGGCCATTCCCAGCACCCCCAGCCCTGCTGGATGCACGAAACACACACCGCATCAGGACGTGAATCCAGACTCTTCTGCTCAAAGCCACTTCTTTAAGCCTCCTGCACATACACCTCTCCCCACAAGCAATCCGTGCCTTCCCAGTGGGTCCCCACTCCCTTTCCCCTGGTTGCTTGCTCTGGCCACACCGGGCAACTGTTCACACCTGTTCTTTCCCTCCAGGCCTTCTCCAGACACCCTCAATGCCCACCCCCTGCTCCTCACACACTCAAACTGCCTCTCCTCCTCACCCTCCAACTCTGCTCATCAAAATTCCACCTGATCCACAGAGAAGTTGGCTAGTACAAATGTGGCTGGAGGAATGACCCCTAGTGTGGCCAGCTGGAGGAGTGTCTATACAGCCTCGGACAAAGATCATGACTCTTCCTTGTGAATTAGACCAGTGCACCGGGAAGCAGTGCAAAGACAATCAATTTCTGGGGTGCCTGGGTGGCCCAGTCAGTTAAGCGTCTGACTTCGGCTCAGGTTATGATCTCACAGTTTGTGGGTTCGAGCCCCGTGTCGGGCTCTGTGCTGACAGCTAGCTCAGAGCCTGGAGCCTATCTTTGGATTCTGTATCTCTTTCTCTCTCTTACCCTCCCCTGTTCGCGCGGTCTCTGACTCTCAAAGATAAAAAAATGTAAAATAAAAAAATAAAAAATAAAAGACCATCAATTTCTATCAAGTCAATGTGGGCTTGAAAGAGAAGACATCAGATGCTAAGGCTCTGGTACGTGGCTCTGTGAAAGCTCTCTGGGCACCAGAGGGACTGGAATGCTCACAGTCAGGAGTAAAGAAACAAAAGATCCTACAAATACCATATGATTTCACTCATTTGTGGAATTTAAGAAACCAAACAAATGAACAAGAAAAAAGAAGAAACAAATCAAAGAAAAAAAAAGAGGGTGCCTGGGTGGCTCAGTCGGTTGAACATCTTACTTTAACTCAGGTCATGAGCTAGTTCGTGGGTTTGAGGCCCATGTTGGGCTCTATGCTGACAGCTCAGAGCCTGGAGCCTGCTTTGGATTCTGTGTCTCCTTTCTCTGCCCCTCCCCTGCTCATGCTCTGTCTCTTTCTCTCTCAAAAATAAATAAAAACATTAAAATAGGGGCGCCTGGGTGGCTTAGTCGGTTTAGCGTCCGACTTTCGCTTTGGTCATGATCTCGCCGTTCGTGGGTTCGAGCCCCACGTCGGGCTCTGTGCTGACTGCCAGCTCAGAGCCTGGAGCCTGTTTCAGTCTGTGACTCCCTCTCTCTCTGACCCTCCCCTGCTCACGCTGTCTCTCTCTCTCTCCTAGAAATAAATAAAAAAACATTAAAAAAAAAAAAATTAAAAAAAAAAAAAAAAAAGGGCAGAGACTCTTAACTACACAGAACACTGGTTACCAGAGGGGAGCTGGGTGGGATGGGTGAACTAGGGAAGGGGATTAAGTGTACACTCATGGTGATGAGCACCTAAGTCCCATATAAAACTGCTGAGTCACTGTTGTACAACTGACTCTAATACAACACTGTACATGAATTGTACTGAAATTTAAAAAATTAAAAAAGAACCATCTTACCACCCTACCTAGAATAATTTTCAGATATGTTAAAATTTTAGTATAAAATACTATAAATACTAGAAAAACATTTCTAGGAGAACCTCTGTATGAACTTAGGATGGCAGATGGCATCCTAAACAACAACACAAGAGACCCAGGAGAAAAAAGGACAGGTAAGTTTGGCTACAGAAAAATGCAATCATGTCAGGAAGACGGTGAAAGTTCTAGAGATAGATGGTGGTGATGGCTGTACGCCAACACAAATGCCCTTAACATCACTGTACTGTATACTTCAAAATGGTTAAAATGGTTAAGATGGTAAGGGCACCTGGGTGGCTCAGTCAGTTGAGCACCCAACTCTGGCTCAGGTCATGATCCCGCGGTTTGGGAGTTCGAGCCCCACATCAGGCTATCTGCTGTCAGCACAGAGCCCTCTTCAGATCCTCTGTCCCTCTCCCTTTTTGCCTCTCCCCCACATGCGCTCTCTCAAAACTAACATTAAAAACAAAAATAAACATTTTAATAAACATAAAAAAATGGTTAAAACGATAAATTTTATGTTATGCATATTTTGCCATAATAAGAATTAAAAGAAATGAATGGTCCCACCTGAAAGGGCGGGCTTTGAAGAACTATGTCCTTTGGGGGTGCCTGGGTGGCTCAATTTGTTGAAGATCCAACACTGGCTCAGGTCATGATCTCCTGGTTCATGAGTTCAAGCCCTGCATGGGGTTCTGTGCTGACAGCTCAGAGCCTGGAGCCTACTTCAGACTCTGGGTCTCTTTGTCTTCCCCTGCTCATGCTGTCTATCTCTCTTTTTCAAAAATAAACAAACGTGGGGTGTCTGAGTGGCTTAGTTGGTTGGGTGTCCAACTTTGGCTCAGGTCATGATCTCATGGTTTGTGGGTTCGAGCCCTGCATCAGCCTCTGTGCTGACAGTTTGGAGCCTGCTTCGGATTCTGTGTCTCCCTCTCTCTCTCTCTGCCCCTCCCTCACTCATGCTCTGTCTCTCACCCTTTTAAAAATAAACATTAAAAAGTTTTTAAATAAAAAATAAACATTAAAAAAAAAAAGAACTATGTCCTTGAGGGGTGCCTGGGTGGCTCAGTTCAGTTGGTTAAGTGTCCAACTTTCAGCTCAGGTCATGATCTCACAGTCGTGAGATCAAGTCCCACATCAAGCTCCGCGCTGAGCATGGAGCAAGATTCTCTCAGGGCGCCTATGTGGCTCAGTTGGTTAAGTGTCTGACATTGGATAAGGTCATGACCTCACGGGCTCATGAGTATGAGTCTAGCCCTGGTGGTGCAGAGCCTGCTTGGGATCCTCATTCTCACCTCTCTCTCTGCCCCTACCCCACTCATGCTTTCTCTCTTTCAAAATAAACAAACTTTAAAAAGATGCTCTGTCTGACCCTCTGGCTCATGCACATGCCACTCTCTCCATAAAAAAACAAAAACAAAAAACAAAAAAACAAACTATGTCCTTGAAACACAGGTTTAAAAAAGAAAAACATAGTTGATACTACTTTTGAGTCTATTCTAGTTTGTTTCCTAAGTGTTCAAATTAGTTTTACCTATTTTTTTTATAAACTCTAAATACTTACAGTGCCTTGCACTTTTCAATGGCTTTATTAAACCATAATTCACAATGGCATACAAAATCCACCCATTTAAAGCATACAATTCAATATATTTCATATGTTCCTGGAGTTGCACAACCAGCACCACAATCAATCTAAGAACATCTTCATCTCCCCAGAAGGAAGCCCTGACCCCACCCTCAGTCACAACGCATTCCACAGGCAACCAGTCTCTGCTTTGTCTCTACGGACTTGCCTCTTCTGGACACTTCATGTGAAGGGACTCATACGTGTGGTGGCCCTTTGTGACTGGCTTCTCTCGCTTAGCATCATGTTTTCAAGGCTCAAGCCTGCTAGAGGATGGATCAGCATGCCCTCCCTTCACATGGCCAGGTAACGTTCCGCTGGGCGGCTGCGGCTAACGGACTTAGGGATTGCGTCTATGTTTTCACTACGACAAATAATGTTGCTATGAACATCCATGTACAAGTTTTTCTGTGGATGGACATTGCATTTCTCTTGGACAGATGCTGTCTAGGAGTAAAATCGCTCATGCGCAAGTACCTTAATTTAAAACCAAATCCTGGCACCTATCTCGGGAGTTCCGGTGTGTGTATGTCTGTGTCCCAGGAGGACAATGGCCTCGGACGCCCCATCCCTGTCAGGTCAGGCAGCATCAAGAGCCAGAAGTCCTCGGCAGTGGCCAATTCCAGCTCCCACAATCTGTCCATTTCTACAAGCTGCCAGGCCCCTGCGGGTATCCAGCTTGTGGGAAGCAGCAAGCTGGGTACCAGGCTAGGGACAGCCTCCCCTGTCCCAGCCCCCATCCGGCTTCTCTCCCACCCCAGACGCCTCGAGGAGCCACGGCGGCCCAGCGCGGGTACCTTGCCGGTAGAGCGCGGCGGCATAACGGGCTGTGTTACTGGTACTCTGGGAGGAACAGAACGTCTGCTTGTCCATCAGCTTCCTGGGAGCACAGGGAGAAGGGACATCAAGGGGAAGGAAGCTCTGGACCCAGGGCATGGCAGACACAGCCCCTCTACCCCAGGTACCTTCTGAAATCCTGTACCCAGGGACAGGGACCCGGGCCCCAACCCAGCACAGGGGAGCCTCAGCAGGGAAGCTCAGGATGAGGTCTGTGGCCAAGGACAGTGGTGGGTACAAGCCCCCATCCCCCTCTCCACAGGGCAGACACTTGCCGCGGGGCAGGGTTGCTCCAGGCCCAAGCATGGGACGCTGGGATGCTGGTGGGGAGCCCGGCACAGGGCCACAAGGACTTAGGCGTCCCGCAGGCCTTGGGAAGGCTCGGAGTGGAGCACACCGAAGCCTGGAGACCAGGCCCAGGGAACTCACGAGGAGTAGGTGCTGCTCTCATCCGCGCAGGCGCCGTCCACGTTGAGCGCGATCTGCTCCCCTTTGCTGCGGCAATAGTTGGGGTTCAGGGTGTCGATGGCCATCTCAAGCTCTACCTGTAAGCACCAAGCACCCCCGCCAGGTATGAGGAACACAAGGACCCCCCCCAACCTGGCCACAGCCACCTCCTGACCCCAGTCCCTGCCTGTCTCAGGCCTGGCCAGAAGCAAGCCCCCAGGCCTCAGTCTCCAATGAAGGCCATAAACCCAAATCCCGACAGAAAGGCCAGAGTGCTTTCTGCAGGGGTGGGGGTCATGTGGTTTTGTTTGCCTTTCCCATTCTACTCTCCAAAATCTAAACTGGGTGCCAACATTAAAAAAAATCAAGAGATGTTTCTCACAAAAATTCTCATTTCCAATTTCTCTTAAAAATTCTAGGGGTGGGGGCTGCAGTCACCTGCCGGACAGGGTGCGCTTGCAGTTCTCCTGGCTGCTAGCACCCCAGCCCTCAAGGCACTGGATTATCCCCTGTTCCAGAGCTGCTGCCCGCTGGCTCCTGCCTTATCCTGTGAGCATGGGCCCCCCATCCCCAGTCCCTAACTCCTCTCGAGCCTTGTTACTCCCTGGCCCCTCTGGAGCTGCCCATCCCCTTTCCTCCCAGAGACTTTCCTTCCTCGGCTTTCTAGGCTCTGCAAGCGATTGGTTCTCCTCTCAACCCTCTAATCCTCTTTTTCTGGGCTTCTAGTCCCCAGGGGGCCGTCTGCTCTCTTCCACCAGCCCCCACCCATATCACCCCTCCCTTCTCCTCCTCCACCTCCATCAGAGGGCAGCCCACCTTCTGCTGCTTGGGCTTGATCTTGGCCGAGAGGTGTGGAATGTCATCATAGGTCATCGAGGATGGACGCACAGGGTACTGGGGATGGGAAGGGAGTCAGTGCGCGAGGCCCGGCCCGGCCCGGCCCAGCGCTGGGCCCAGAGACTCCAGCCACGATTCAACGCCAAGCAGAGACCAGAAGCCCCCACTGGTCCCCTTCGCATGGCTCCACCCCGCCTCCTCCCAAAGGACCATTTTCAGATGTCTCTGACTTCCAAGGGGCAAGCCTAAGCACCAGGAGCCCAAAGTGGCCCTGGCACACAGTGCCCTGAAGGTTCTGGCGACCCGCAGGGTACTGCTGCGGAGGCAAGAGGAAGGGTCCACAGCCTAGCTGCCAGTTACAGGCCATCCCGGTGGAGAAGGACAAGGCAAAGGAAAGGAGATTGCGGGAGGCACAGGGGAAGACCTGACCGGTGACATGTCGTGGGCTGCTCAGGAGGGACTCGCTCCCCCATTCCCTCTCCACCACACTGTGAACTTTTCAGCAATAAAAAGTTGCTGCTGAGCAGCTCAGAGAGCCCCTTCTGGGCTTCAGCGCCACCATGTGTGAAGTTATTTTATGTCACTCTTTAACATAGTGCTCTCAGGTCACTTCTTCACTCTGCACACACCGGGGTCACCTTCCCTTTCCTTTTTTCTTGCACTGAACGGATGCTACACAGTCACCATCTGGAGCACCCTCATGCCCAGACCAGACCATGTCTGGAAGGAGCCTGCTGAGGGCGAGGCAGTGTGTAAAGTGAACCCTCTGTGTGGGGGCCACTGCAGATCTGCTACGCTCTGGCCCTAGGAAACAATTATTTCCTAAACACTACACTCAAATAGCAACACACTGACTCCTCCCTAATTCCTGGGCGGTAACTTAGGGCGGCAGTACGGTTAAACAGCTTGCAGCCCGGCTGGTCTGGACTGAGTCCTTGAAAAAGGCCCGGGCTGGGACAGGCTTGCCCACAACAGCCTGGGAGGCTCCTGGTCGGCCAAGGTCCAGGGCGACCCTGTAATCTCCTGATCTCGGCTGGTATGGGTGATGGTGAACGGCACAGAATCAGGCCTCGGTTCCGCTCCCAGCTCTGCCTCTGGCAATCTGTGTCCTCAGGCCAGCTCTTCACCTCACAGAATGTCCTCACCTCACAGGGCTGCTGGGGGCAGGGAAGGATGCAGACAAGGTGGACACGGGCCCAGGGCCTGGCACACCGTAAACACATATGGGGTCACCGTCACCACTGCCAGTTCCCTCATCATTCTGCAACCAGTCAAGGAAACCAGTTCAGAAGGCCTAAGGACAGGCCCCCAGCAACACTGCCTATAAAGGCAGACCCTGGGGGCATGGGGAGGAAGGAGGCTGGGCCCTTTCCCAGCTCACACTTGGAGCGCTACCTCTGCATCCCCCTGCCCAGGGCCCCCTACAGGTTACCTGCGTCCCTGTGCCTTACCTTCTCACAGGCAACAGGAGACAAAATACTTACAACAATAAATATTGTTGTAAATATAAACTGGTACAAAGCAGTCTGTCTATTCCTCTAAACATTAAACACAGAGTATCTAATGGACCCAGCAATTCCGCTCCTAGGGATATGCCCAGGAAAAATGAAAATACCCGTCCATATTCAATGCCTATCCACAGCAGCACCGTTCATAATAGCCCCCAAGTGGAAACAACCCAAACACCCATCAGTGCATGGATAAACAAAAATGTGGTGTATATATCCACACAATGGAGTAATATTCATCCATAAAAGGCAATGAAGTACTGATACATGCTGTAACATGAGTAAACCCTGAGAACATTATGCTAAGTAAAAGAAACCCTATGACACAATTCAGTATGTATGAAATGTTCAGAACAGGCAAATCCAGTGAGAAAACAGGTTAGTGGTTGCCTAGGCATGCAGGTAGGAAGGGAGACAGGGGACAAAACTGTCCTAAAATAGACTGTGGTGCTGAGCCCCGTGCTGGACAGTGTTTGGAGCACTTTAGTATGGATGCAGCCCACCCCAATGGCAACCCTACAGGGCAGGTAGTGTTACTGCCACCATTTGGCAAATGGGAAAACGGAGGCACACAGGCTTAAGGACCTGGCCTGAGGGTTCACAGCTAAGTCACGATGGAGCTGGGCCTCAATGCAGCTGCCTGTCCCCAGAGCCCAAGCAGGACTCTTCTGCCTCTCACAGCTGCCTTGGTTTTCCCATCTGCAAAACGAGAGATTAACCTGCCTGCCCACAAAAGCCAAGAAAACCACCTTATCGCACACTATGTGCCCAGGACCCCAAGGAGGCTGACATTCCCCCAACCCCTCACCCACCACCCCAAACCTTGAGGTTTCCCTTTGCCCTCAGGTCCCATCATTACCTGAAACAGATAGAGCTTCTCTGCCAGACTTTTGGCCAAGTACACGTCGATCTGAGAATAAGGGAAGAAGACTTAAGCAGGAGACAGAACCAGTGCCTGGCTCGCCCACACTCCTCAGCTCTCAGGAAGGGGTAGTGGCTCTGAGAGGCAGTTTGGGGGAGAAGGGAACAGCTCAGCTACCTCTAGAAACAGAGGGAACAAAGTCTCCAGCCTCCCTCCCTACAGCTCCCAGGGAGACTGGGACAAGAGTTGCCAGGCTCAATAAAAATGTACCTTCCCCAGGGCTGCTCAGATCAGGATGCATCCTAGAACTAGGTTAAATGCGTTTCTGATGAGGCTGGGGCAGAGGAGAGCTTACCCACACGGCTGCACTTCCTCCCCAGGCCCTCCGCCACCTACCCTGGATGACCCGTGACACCTCTCTTAGGGTGGTCCGCAAGCCCCTCCAAGAACCATCCGGCCAAACTTTTTTTCTTCTCAACAATGACCACCCCCGCCCCACCGCGCAGCGGTTTACCTCCCTGCTTCCCGGCTCTTCGTATGAACCATGTTCTCTCCCACCACCAGGCCCAAAGGAGGAGTGAAGGGCATCAGCGCAGGGGAGGCCTGTGTGAAGGGCATTCTAGGTGGAGGGGACAGCATGTGCAAAGGCCCGCCTGGGGGCACTAGGACGTGTCCGGATCTGGGCTGCCTCTGGAACCTACCTCCCCACCACCTACATCTTGAGACTCCTTCCTGTCAGTCCTGCCCACAGAGCCTATAGGTTTCCTCCCTCACTGCTGTCACGGCCCTGCACGCAGTGGGTCCAGTGAACGACTGGTGAATGACTTCTACTAGGTGGGCCCAGGAAGGGGGAACTGTCAAACCCATTCACACATTCAACAAATAGCCACTGAGTATCTAAGTGACAGGCACTGAACTTGGCTTTGCAGATACAATGGTGAAAGAATAGAAGCTCTCCCTTGTGAAGCCTACATTCTAGTAGAAGGAGATTGTGTCCAGGGAATGGTGAGTATTGTGATCAGGCACAAGGCACGGCCAAGGTCAAGGGTCTGGGGGGACCAGGGAGGGCATACAGGAGAATGCCACATAACTTGGGGGGGTGGGGGGGAGTCAGGGAATTCTCTTTGACAAGGAGATGCTAGATCAGAGACCGGGAGGAAGTGAAGGGTTCAGCCAGGCAGGCATCTGAAGGAAGAGGGAACAGCCTGGCTTAGAGGTCCCTGGGATGCCAAGAGATGCCAGGCTGGCCTGAGGACGGACAGAAGGGGACTCATCGCTGGCACTTCTCCCTGCTGACCCCAGCAGAAGGTAGAGAGCAGCAGTTACCTCCTGTACGACTGGGTCATCCTCTTCATTGGCCATACTAGGGGGAGGCCAGCCGCACGATCCTCAGACTCAATCTGCAAGGGAGAGCAAGAGGCCTGAAATGTCAGTCAGTCGTTCAGCCAACACTCAGGGTGCCCATGCTGCCACGGGCCCTGCTCCGGGAGGGGAGAGCCTGAGACACAGAAACTGACCCTCTTTCAACATCTTTCCTGGAGTCAACAATGGATGGCCAACACCAGACAAGGGAGAGAAACCACTAAACCCAGGGTGCAGACAGGTGGACCCGAGGTAGCACATGTTGTCTGCATCCATAGGGAAGAATAAATGATCAGTTTTAAGGGTTTTTTTCACCATTCCCAAAGTAGAGTTCACTGCCAGGCAGGAAGATGGAGGCTGGCTGGTCCACAGCCATGATGAAAACACTCGAGCACTAATTGGGGGCCACGAGGAAGCATTAAGGACGAGTCTGAGGTCCAAGAGGAAGAGCAGGCAGTCCCAAGGCTTTCCAGGGTGACTCTGACTCTGATATTTGACTTTCAAGTGAGTGAACTTTAGGCCTAAGCCCGTGTGAGAGGATTCTCGTGTCACGTGTGACACATTTTGTGTCACAGACACAAAATGACCCTCTTCACATGCTTTAATGTATTCAACACAACAAACCTGCAAGATGGCTTGACTGTCCCCATTTTCTAATGGGAAACTGGAACTCAGGGATGCTCTGAATGTATCAGCCATGCCTCAGAACAAGAGGATGCACTGGACTTCAAGGCCGGGACATCTGACTCCAGGTAACAACTGCAGGTAGAGGAGCTCACTCAGAGGGAGGGGAAGGGGGGGGCATTTGGGCTGTGACCCAAGGGATAGAAGGATTCGGACATGGGATTTCAGGTGGCCAGAATTGCCTCAAGCAGCTGGAGAGTAAAAGCCGCAGGTCTCCACAGCAGAAGGGGACTAATTCCGGGCTGACCCTTCATATTTCCACATGGGTACCTTCAGAATTCCAGCAGCCCCCAGCCCCCTAGTTTTGGGTAAGACCATCACCATTTTTGTCTCATTTACTTAGGTGGCTCAGTTGGTTAAGCGTCTGACTCTTGATTTCGGCTCAGGTCATGATCTCGCAGTTCCTAAGTTCGAGGCCCAAGTCACGTGGAGCCTGCTTGGGATTCTCTCTCTCTGCCCTTCCTGCACTTGCTTTCTCGCTCACACTTGTGCGTACTCTCTCGCTCTCTCTTTCTCAAAATAAACTTAAAAGGACATATCTTCACCAGGAGTGGGCTTCCACGGCTGAGCTGTACCACCTGAAATCATCTCATGCATTCCAGATACATGTTCTAGATTCGGCCTGCTCAGCTTCACCCCTGAGACCTCTGTTCCCATAACCCCACACCAGAACTCCCGTCAGCTCTACCTTTCAGGTAGGTCTGGGGTCTGGGCCTCACTGCTACCTCCCCAGTCCAGCCAGCTCCACTGTCTGCCCGCATGACAGCAATGGCCTAAATAAATGGTCTCCCAGCCCCACCCAGACCTTATGACCTTTGCCTATCTCCACAGCCAGAGCCAGTGATCCTTCTGAAAGTCACATCAGAGCCTGTCACACCTCTGCCTTCAAAGGCCTCCTGTCCCCCGCCCCCCCCCCCCCCGCCGCTTCCCTGCCAAGGCTCCCTTCTTCCCTCTCCCCCAACCTCAGGCCTTGGGAATAGCTCTACCCTGAGAGCCTCAAGGCTCCTTCCCTCACCTCTTCCAGCTTTTTGCTCAAATGTCACGTCATCACTGAGACCTTCCCTGTCCATCCTATCCAAAGTTGCAACACCCTCCTCCAACTCCCGTCCCTGCTCTGATGTGACTCCTGTCCCGGCTCTGACGCACACGTCGCCATGTGACAGTTTATAGCTCTGTATTTATTACCTCTCCCCACGCCCGCTGCCACTACGCTGTAAGTTACACGCAGGCAGAGACTCTGCTCTATTCTGTCCCTTACTGTACCCCCCTTAGCCCAGAGCAGGCACTCCACACATAGCTGCTTTCTAAATAAACCAGCCACAGGAAGACTATTTAATAGGGAGCTACCAAAGATTTCCGAGTGGAGAAGACGCGGAGGGGGCAAGAAGGCAGACTAGCTGGAAGCCGGCTACCTCAACAGTTCTGGCTTGAAGACTAGATGAAAACCAGAAGCCCCAAACCGACAGCTTTACGTGCCTGCTCCAGCCCAGAGACAGGGGTGACGAATGGTAGAGCCCAAAGACCCACCACATCTACACTGATTGCCAAGTGCCCTGATGTGTGTCAAGCACCTCGCTCCTCTACGGAGACTGGGGACTTCCACCTGAGTCAGGGAACAGGTCACATGTACGAGAGGCATAGCCTGGGAGGTTCCCCAGATGAAATCATTCCTGAGAAACCGGCTCTCTCGGCTGTTGCTGGGCTCCCTAGCTGTGCTCTGCTGGCCTCTCCCCTAGTCCCGGGGGAGCTCAGGGAGGCTGAGGGACCTGGCACTCCTCCACACCCACCCCCCACCACAGTACAGTGACTAGGGTGACACAGGGTTCTCACTTCCTTTCAGCCTCCCAGCCAACATCATCCAACTCGGTGGCTTTCCAAGTTTTCAGCCTAAAACCTAGAGTAAGAAATCCATTCCATATACACAACCCAGAACATACACACAATCATGTAACTAAACCAAGGCTTCACACACCCCTAACTGCCCCTACTATATGTGATGCAGTGGTGTTTTCTACCTTTGCTCATTAAAATTAAACATGCTGGTTACAATCCTCTAAGGTGATTTTATCTCCCCCTAAAAAACTTTTTTTATTTTTATTATTTAAAAAAAAATTTTTTTTAATGTTTTATTTATTTCTAGGAGAGAGAGAGAGAGACAGCGTGAGCCGGGGAGGGTCAGAGAGAGAGGGAGTCACAGACTGAAACAGGCTCCAGGCTCTGAGCTGTTAGCAAAGAGCCCGACGCGGGGCTCGAACCCACGAACCGCGAGATCATGACCTGAGCGAAAGTCGGACGCTTAACCGACTAAGCCACCCGGGCACCCTATTTTTATTATTTTTTAAGTAATTTCTATGCCCAACATGGGGCTCGAACTCACCACCTAGAGATCAAAAGCAGCATGCTCCACAGACTCAGCCAGCCAGGTGTCACTTATTAATAAATCTTGATCCACTATTTTAAATTACACCTTTGGGGGTACGTGACTGGCTCAATCGGTTAAGCATCCCACTCTTGGTTTTGGCTCAGGGCATAATCTCACGGTTTGTGGATTCGAGCCCCACATCAAGCTCCACACTGACCCTGTGGAGTTTGCTTGGATTCTCTCTCCCTCTCTCTCTGCCCCTCCCCAGCTAGTGTTTCTGTTTCTCTCTCTCTCCCCCTCTCAAAAAACTTGAAGAGGAAGTACCCCTTCAACAAGTTTCTCTGAGGCCCTTCTTTTCTACCTCTAATCCTCCCAGAAACAGCCAGAGTGGTCTCTGCAGAAAAGTAAATCACATCATTCTCCTGCTCAAAACCCTTCAACTGCCACACAGAATAAAATCCAAATTCCCTTCCATGGCCCCAAGGCCCTATATGATCTTGCCCGTGGCTGTCTCTCAACTAGCTACAAGGCCAAGTAACCACTTGCTGGGCCTCCAAGAGGCTAGGCCGCAGTCTGTCTCAGGACCTTTGCACGCCACCAATTTTCCCCAGGTATTTTCAAAGCTGGCTCTTTTATCATTAGATATCACTGCCACCACCGCCCCCCCCACTTCCAGGTGGAGAAAGGTTCCTTGACCACCCATCTTAAAAAGCTCCCCCACCAACCGGTCCCCAGTCACTACCACGTCTACACTTTATTTCCCTTATGGTTTTTATCACAGTCTGGAACTACCCAGTCTACCTGTCTGCCTTCTGCACTAGAACGTACCCTCCACATGGGTCTCTCAGCTCTTCAGTTACCTCAGCCATAAAGTGGAGAGGATTATACTTACTTCATCAAGTTGTTATATGGATTCTTATCTTTTTTCAAATGTATGTTTGTTTTGAGGGGGGAGGGGAGAGGGGAAGAGAGGGAGAGAATCCCGAGCAGGCTAGCAGACTCTGCACCTTCAGCGCAGACCCAGATGCGGGGCTGATCCCACCAACCACAAGATCATGACCCGAGCAGAAATCAAGAGTTGGATGTTTAACCAAATAAGCCACCCAGGGACCCCTGGATTGTTATCTCTTTTTAAAATTCACACTATCCTCCCAATGACTAGAACAGTGCCTGGCATGAAGTAGACACTCAATACAGTACAAATGAAATAAATGAGTACGTGAAATCAGGCGGTTACAGACCCTTAACCCAGTGAGCCTAAGCCCCAACCAGAGACTGGTGGCTTCATGGTTTGGCCCTCACGGATACCGCAGAACGGACAGAGGCTGTGGCCCAGGCAGAAGCAGGCCTCCCAGTCACAAGTCAAGTTTCCGAACCAACTGCAGTGACTACCAATGACCACCTTGGCCTCAACGGGGCATCTTGCAGCCATACATAATGGCATTCTGGGAGTGGCTCCATGGCCCTGGGCGCACAAAATTTCCCCCAACAGGGAGGTGCCAACAAATGGAAAGGGGACAAAGACAGCAGGTGGGACTAGGGAAATACCTGAATGCCACACCTGGGTGCATGCCCGTGTGCCCAGGAATCGAACCTGTCGGCCAATCATAAATGCAGAGGCAATTCCAAAGACTCTCTAGCTACTGGAGGGAGAGGACAAAATACGATGCAGTTAAGAGGAAAGTGTCCCAAGGCAAAGAGTCTCAAGGCCTGGATTCTAATGGCCTGTGCGCCTCCTGGGCAAGGCATCTCCCCTCTCTGGGTCCCCTCAGTTTCTACTTCAGTTAAAGAGTTAGCATCGAGAAAAGAACTAATTAACCCTTAACTGAGCATCAGACCCTTCACAGATGTTCTCGTCTTCTCAATAGTCATTAAGTCAAGATTCATCGTTCCCAATTAAGAAAGGAGGAAATGAAGATTCAGAGAGTAAGTAATTTGCCTAAGGTCACAGTGCTGGAGGAAAGTAGAGCCAGATCAGAAACCTGGGTCCGGCTGATGTCAACGATCCCTTTCTTAACCACTATGCTGCACACCTTTTGAGCAAAAGGCAGTATGGTATAGTGGGTAAGAGCCTGGACACGCAAAGCAGAAAGACAGTGGTTCAAATCCCACCTCAGCTACTTCCCATCTGTGGTCCACCTGAGGCCGCTTCATCTTGGAAAATCCCGCTATTTTCATCCCTAAAATGGGGATAATAAAAGTACCGACCCTCCCCAGAACCACAGTGAAAATTAAACAAGGTAATAAATGTAACCTGCGCGGAACTTTGTTATTACTTGGTAACATGTTTTCTTCCAATGTAGGAGAATATAACGCCGCCACAAATCAAACGCGGCCAGCTGGGGCTTCTCGCGTCTTACCCTATTTAACCCTCATCAACAGCCCTACGACGTCGGAAATTCTATTATCCCCATTTCACAGACGAAGAAACTGTGGCGATGGCTATCATCTCCTCTATCACCCAACGATTCTAAAGCTAAAGCTAACAGAACTGAACGACCTTGTTTATGTACTGGTTTACTTGACGTGCTTGCTGATACCTCCTCCGACCAAATGGTCAGGGCCGTATCCGCCGCACTTTGCCGGCTCTCAGTTAACGCTGAATGGTGGCCTGAATAGATGAATGACAGAATGTCGGGCCTGGCCGGGCGGAGGCTGATCTGGTTCAGCGGCAAGGAAGGGGCCCGGGCAGGCTTGGGTACCCTCCCCCTGCCCAGCTGGGCGGGCCGCCGGCCAAGGGCCACCCTGTCCAATGGGTTTCGCCTCCCTCACGGGTGGTCAGGCCCCCTTCTCACGCCAACAACGCAGCCATCCGCACGGGCAGCCGAGCTGGCGGGACACCGGCTGCCTTGGGACAGGTGCTCCCACAGGATGCCCGCCTGGGCCGGGCGGGGCAAGGTGGCCAGACCCTGAGTCACCGCCGACAGCCTCGGCCGCGGCATCCTCGACTCCCGGGCAGGGCCGAGGTCTGGGCCCGCGGGCCGCCCGGATCAGCAGAGGTCGGCTGTCCATCCTTCCTGCCCGAGTCCGGAGAGGCCCCGAGCCCCTGGGCTCGGCGCGGCGCGGGCCTCCCGGCCTACCCGGCAGCCCAGCCCAGGCCCACCTCGCGAGAGCCACCCGGCTCAAGACCGGGCGTGCGCTGTCTGCTCGGCACTCACCTCTCCGCGGGGGCCGCGCGCGGGCGGCGGCAACGGCCTAGGTACCCGCGGGCTGTAGAGGCGGCGGCGGCCCGGCTGTTCTCTTAGGCAGCGGCCATGTTGCTGGTGGAGAAACTCCAGCGGACACGTGGGGGCAGCGGGGCCGGGCCTCGCGCTTCCTTTTACCCACAATGCGCCGCCCCGGAACGCGCAACCCCGCCCCCTCCGCCGCTCCATTCATACCGGCTGTCTGCCGGGTCTGGCAGCAGGGGGTGCTGAGGAACCGACAAAAACAGCAGAAACAGAGCCCGGCCGAAGGGACAAAAAGCAATCTTGGCAGCGGTGGGATTCGAACCCACGCCCCCGAAGAGACTGGAGCCTTAATCCAGCGCCTTAGACCGCTCGGCCACGCTACCCAGTTGTTGAAATTGGCTTCTGAGAAACTACTTAATACTTTTACAAGCAGACTTTACTGACATGTCCTATGTTTTAAACTGATTCCGGCAGAGCTGTTTCAAATATATCACGCATTTAAAAGAAAATCTTTGCTCCAATATTTAGACCCCAACTTGTTTCAAACGGATTTTAGAGTACAAAGCAGTTTAAGGATCCGTGTTCTGACCTCAGGAGGGGCCACGTAGCACCGGAAGAAATGTTGCATTGCTGCAGTGATTCGCACCGAGGGCTCAAAAGGCTAAACCGAGGGAGCTGGCGTAGGCAGTTTCCTCTGAAAAGTTGTGTGTTTTAATTGTTAGTTACTCAACTAATAAGTGAGGTATTGCAAAATATGAAAACTTTGCAGATAAGGTACAAATGCTCTTTTATCTTTGACGCTCATCCTAAATCCCATCCACAGAAATAACCATTATTCTCAGCTTACTATCTATCTTTCTGGATTTTTTGCTGTGAATTTGTGTGGAGATAGATCATAGATAGATAGATAGATAGATAGATAGATAGATAGATAGAGATAGCTATGTGGATATGTGGATATATATATATCCATAGGAAATTGATGTTTTCTGTTTGTGTTTGGGTTTTTACATAAATATTATACTATCACTGTTGATCTGCAACTGTTTTTTTCACCCAATTATACTTTTAAAATATCTGTCCATGTTGATGTAAAAAATACAGAGAAAGTTCAAAGAAAAAATAATTATCCACATTCCCATGCACCTAATATTGTGGCATTTTACTTCCAATTCTTTTCCTATGTATATGCTTTTTATTAAAAGGTACACAGGAAATGGTATGAATACACTATCCTTTAAAAAATCCATTTAAATATACTAGACAATTAAAAATTAAACAAATGAAAATATACTAGACCATTACAAATTAAAAATAAAGCCTCCTTCTCAAACATCCTCCCTTGGCTATAACTATTATTATGATTTGATGTGTATTCAATCCATTTCTTATACTTTCATGTCTATATGCCTATAGTTATAGATATTTTTGTGTGTATATATATGTCTGTATCTGTATTAATACCTACAGATATAAATATAGATATTTGTATGTGTATATATACATATATATACACACTCATGGAAAATATATGGAATCACTATATAGAATGGTCTTCTGTATGTTTTTCATTTACATAAATATTATTATGCCAAGATCATTCTGCAACTTGCTTTTCTACTCCAACATTATGAGGTCTATCACCATGCATATATAATTTATTCCGTGATATGAATATGGACATATTCACATTATATTACATTGTTATATTCAAGTTTCTAGTTAATAAACAGTTGGCACATACCCTAACATTTGGGCATTCAATATTTCTCCTTCCCTTGAGTCCTCCTTAACCCAGTTTTTTTCCCCACCTACCTTTAACATAAATATCGATAGGCAAAGATTTCATCGCACCAGGAGAGTTTGTTGCTTTTAAAGGAATCTTTAAAAAATACAGAAGCAGCTGTCTGTTGAGGACACAGGCTAGGCATTGTGGGGGATTCAAAGCTACATGAGGAATAGTCCTTCAGATCAATAGCAACATTAATTTAGTCACAGTGTTTTAGTACTAGGAGGGATTTTGTGAGTTGTGTGCTGGGTTTTCCAAAAGGAAATATCCCCATGGTGAAGGGTAACTGCTGAAATCTCTGCCTAAGCTCACTTTTCTAAAACTGCCTGACCAGCCCAGAGAGTGGATCCCTGGAAGTCACCATTGTGCTGTGACCCCCTGGCCCAGCCATACCATGGACTGTGGGCTCTATGGTAAATAAAGGACTCAGGTTGGACCAATCAAATTTTCTCTTGAGAATCTAAGCTGAGACATGGTGAGTTCCTGATTTGGTGAATTTGACCTTCTTAAGTGTTACAGTGTTAAGCATTAGTGTCCAGGACTAGCGGAACAAGGGAGAAAAGGGCATTTGGGGCGGCCATATTCTGTGAAATGGATTGGGAAGTAGAGAAAGCTAATGCACAGAAATAGAAACAATGATACGATAAGAGCAGAGTCATAGAAAGATCCTAAAGGTTCTCTGGCTCCCAGCTCAAGACCCTTCCTAGGACCCAATGGGATTCACATTCTTGGAGACATCCTTTATCATGGCAATAAATGCCACTTTCCTGCTAAAGCTAGTGCTACCTGGTAGCTATCCATTGTAAGAAATAACACCCCCCCCACCCCCCCGCCTTTTATGGTAGGGGCTCAAATGAAGCTAGAGATATTTCTGACAGAACATTCTGGAGCAATTCACGTCTGTCCCTATTATTACATACTGGATGGGGGTATTTAACAGGGAGCTGCACAGATGCAGGTCAATTCTGAAAGGCAGAGCCCAGGGCCTCCGTCTGGGAGTTTCGTGCAGTCTCACAGCCCTACTACACAGCTGTCTGTGAGAATCAGGTGTGAAACTAATAAGCAGGAAAAGCAAAATGTTGCATCAGAACTCCTGGGCCCACAGAATCGGTCCCAGCAGCTTTAAGTAGGGAGATGGAGAGAAGGGCTGAAACCTAGACTATCCGTTGGTGTGCCTACTTCTCCGCCCCTGGTTAACGGGGCAGCTGGAGGGGAGAAGCACCACAGATCAAACACTACCCATTTAACCCCCCCCCCCCCCGCAAACTAGGGACTGTCAGGTGGAGGCTGGCTGTCTCTATATCATAAACCCTCAGCTGTGCGCAGTGAGGATGGGCATGGGGGCTCAGTTCTGGATCCCCTCCATTCTTCACTCTCTTGCTCCTATAAAAGGAAAATTATCCCAAATCTGGACTGAGACCAAACCTTTCTACACAAATCTCCTTCTGGAAAGAAAAGAACATTCCTGATAAAATGCTTAAGCTTCTTCTTATGACATTCGATAGCATTCAGATTTGTACAGTGAAGCTAGCTTTCTACCCACCTAATTGACTCTCATCTGTCAGTCAAGAGCATAGTGAATGTTCAGTAAGACTGCGCATTCTTTTTCTTTTCAATTTAATCATTCTTTTCCTATAGAATGTGTCTACCAGGATAGAGGCCAAAAGAGTGGTCACCTTGTGTGGGGTGGGGATGGAGTGGACGGCGGGGAGGGGGTATTGCTGCCTGGGAAGGGGCCCGAGGGAGCTTTCCGGAATGCTGTAAATGTCCAAAGTTCATCAAGTTGTACACTTCAGATTATGCAATTTACTCTATATAAGTGATACTGTATTAAGTACATTTTTGAATATTTTCCTACTAAATATGAATCTTTGGACCCACTCTTGCATTCTTGCAGCACGATTGTAATGCAATTTTGACATAGGCTTGCCACAAAACCACCTGAAAATTTTCTTCAACACTCTCCTTTAATCTCCAAGGCCCTTTTCCTCTTCCTCGCTAAAGGGAATACTCTGTCTGGGTGGGAATTTGTTGTTTTTGCCTTCCCAGAATCCTTTCCCCCATTTTCTGGTTCCAATACTGTTCTTCCTTTGGGGAAATCTCCCTGTGGTCTCGGAGGAACAATCCATCACAGGGCTAAGTGGGCAGGCACAAGACCCAGTTGGATCAATCAGAGGCCTGAGCCTGGGAATCTGAATCTGGATACCAGAAGGTTTAGCTCAATAGCAGGGTGATAGACTGAACTTCCAAATGATCCGTTAACCTTCTGCTTCCTCGCTCTGCACACTCACCCGGGTACCTCCTTTTCTGACGCCTGATTCTTTTATTCTGTAACCTTCCCTTCTGTTAAAAGCTACTTCCCCCCAAATTGCTTCTTTGCTAAAGTTAGCCAGTGTAGAGTTAACTACCACCAAGGAACCCACATGATTACCCGGCCCTCCCCCAAAGGAACTTTGTTCTTGCAGAAGATGCACTTCAATCTTGTGCAGAGCATACACCCTTAGCACGGTGTACAGAGCCCTTTTTTTTTTTCTGGAACAAATGCTTAATTGGAAGGAAAACTGGGACACAGGAGTGAACTAGGGCTCTCCCTGGTAAACTGGGGCATGTGGTAACCTTACCCCTTGACCACTCATATGCCCACCTAAGTTGAGATGTCCTGTGTTGAGTCACATTACGCTGCAGGCTCTGCTGGTGGTGGCACCCTTCCTCAATTCCTTTAAATTTTTGTTTTGCAAACACACTCCTGGTGTCCTGGGAAGATGCTGGTAGTCAATAACAGCAGCAGCAGGTGGCATTGTTTATGTTTGAACTATTGGAACTATGACCAGATCTGATCTTCAAACTTTTACCTTTCCTTCTTTTTTTTGTTTTTAATGTTTATTTCTTTGGGGGGGGGGGTGGCAGAAAGAGAGGAAGAGAGAATCCCAAGCAGAGGGAGAGAGAAAATCCTGTTTTGGGGCTGGATCTCAGGAACCATGAGATCATGACCTGCGCGGAAATAAAAAATCTGATGCTCAACTGATTGGGCTACACAGCTGTACACAACTTTCTTTCCTGATTAACTAAAACATTCTTGGCAAATGCTTTTGCAACATGACCCCTTTAAGCCTATTTTTCCTCATCTGTGAAATGGTCATAATACTGACACTTGTTGCAGAGTTAGAGATAACTGTATATGCGCAGCCCAAAGTCTGACATACCGTATATTGTTTCTAAGACTTGTTATTCACATTTTAATATCTCTACAATTGACCTGCATCCTATGATCTTTAGCAGATGGTTTATTTTCAGTGTTTCTTTTCTTACTGAGTCATAAAGTAATGGTATATCT